AACAGCCGGAGTTTTACCCCTTCTGCGCTTGGGTGGAGGGGCATCTAAATGGGCACCATCAGCATCTTCAGCCAGTGGCTCTTCAGTGCCAGGTTGACGTTTCTTTCGACCCTTGGTTTTTCCAATGACTTCCCCTTGTTTCGAAAAATTAGCAACTTGTGGTCTCTCAAGCAGCTTCTTCATTGCGTCACCGAACGGAGTGGCATTGGAGCCATACTTATATCCCTGAGATAAATTTAAAGTGGATCGTTCAAACACACCAAAATCTTGCATGTCATGCAGGTGTTAGTAAGATATGCCCATTGCAATTTGCAATATCTGAGTTTCACCTGTACTGCGGACAAGTTGCAGCATCACGCGGTGCAGGCAAGTCCTTCTTCGTCTTGTCCTTGTCCAATGCCGAAGGACTCGAAGCTGCGGCTACCTGAGGGCAGGATGGGGATATTAGGCTAAAGAATAGGGAACCATGGGAACCAAGGGGAATCCAAAACTATCCAAAACTATCACCTGATCAAACATGTACCTTTGAGATGGATAATAATGATTAGAGATGTGCAATGCATTAATTCAATCTAGACACACGGTCTGGGATTGAGCACGGAGTTGTCACGGTGGGGTCCTGCACAATAGCTCGCAAAATGATAGAATTCATAGAATTAAACCCGGTAACCATGCACAACACTGCACAACTTTTCATATAATGTAAACAGAAATAAACCATATATGCAGAAACCATCAAATGAAAATAAATGAAACTGGCTGCAGAAATTGTAGCCATCATGTGTTGATACTGCCACTTGTTTTTTAAAAATCAGCACGAACCCCGGGAATCATGTACATAAGTGCAATGTATTATTTGTTTGTGTCCTTCGTGGTTGCATGAGATGTCACATCTTCCTCGGGCTCGGTGGGGGTGATGACCTCCTCATCCTCCACAGCACCACCAGGACAAGTGGCTGGCACTTCAACGATTTCAGGTTCAGCCTCAGGCCACAGCATGGGTGAGATGAGAATGGATTAGATACAATGTGTTGTCATGCCTAGCTGAAAAAATGAAAGCACATCTGCGACCCTGATCATTCCAAATCATCATGTACGTTTCTAACCAAAAGACGTGGTCTTCCACGACAGTACCATTCTTGTTCAAACGCTCCATGATCTCGTCCGCAAGCACAACACCACGCACAAACAGACTGCGGAGATTCTGCGCGTGCTGTTTGCCTATAGTGAGTGCATGCAAGGCACAGAGATTTTGAAAAGATTAAAATAGCTGGTCATGACACGTTTTCAGAATTCTCAACACGAAAAAAAATATAGGCCCCCTGACACTCATGCACCATGGCATCATTCGTCGCATCCGCATGGAGACACTGGTAAAGCATGGTCATGGCATCATGAGGTGTGAACTCGTCATCGAAGGCCACTGGCAAAGGTGCATCCAGGGCCAGGGGGGCCGGTGCTGGTTCTGCCAGGGGGGCCAGTGCTGGTTCTGCTGGAACTTCAGCCACCTTGTCATTTGAGCTCCCTCCTGACTCCTCCATGAGGGACATGTGTGTAGTGAACAGGCTTGGGGAACCTGGGTAATTCATCATATATAATTGTACACTCATTGGACTCATTGGTATGTAAGGATTATATAATAGACCTTCTAATTGAGCAACATATAATCAGTCCTGAGCTTCATCGTCGGAGATCATGAGAAGATCAGGTGCTGCAACTGCTTCGGGCTCCTGCAATGCAATTCAGGCTGGCCAACTCTGGTGAGATGTTTTCCCATAAGTGGGTAAAAGAATAAACGAATCATAAGAAAGGACTTATTGCATGCGACAAAAAAATATGATGGGATCCTCCAGTCGCCATTGGGATTCAATGATCTCCTCCGGGCCTTTGTCCATAGCCACAGCCTACCCAAATCATGGATATCATGGGAATCTTGACATGTGTGTTGCGTTGTCCAAATCTTATAATCTCATTTGTTGAATGAATTGGTTTTGACCAGGTGTGCATGATGCAACCATCCCCCATCCACCTCTGTCTGCAACGAGGTTGGCCCAGCGCTGGAAGTACTCTGCGAAGAACTGCCTCAATGCAGCGGATTGCAATAGTGGACCAAAAGAAAAGGGTGTGTGAAATGAGATGCTGTGTTGGTCGTTACGACCCCACCCCCTATGGTGCCTCTAGAAAGAGTAGCATAGCAGCCATCACCATGTCCGACATCAGCCACTGAAGATTGTTTATCCTTTTTCTTTGGACGGGCTTTTGAAGGATTTTCGCGCATGATATTGCGAAGGGTCTTGGCAACCTAAGTCGCAAAATTACCCAATTATATGAAATGATTGTTTTTGATCGCACGCCAAGTTTTGACATTAAACAGGCAAGTGCATATGAGCAAAAAGTTCTAAAGTTTGAGCACCAGAAACCGGTGTTTGCGTATTCCTCTCCACTGCCTTTCGCCAATATCGTCTTGAAAAAGACATAAGGCCAAACAAAGCATCCGCTTCCTTACAATCAGACAGACTAACAAAGATATGATGGCTCCAAGGTATGTCCCCATGACATCCCAAACCCTCCCTAAAATAATTTCAGAGCAAAGGGCGTTCATGAAGAGGGTAAATGACCTGTGAACTCATTCCATGTTACGCAGCTTTGCGCGCAAACTGAAATTACAGACAAAAAACATCTCCTGCCCATTTCTTCCTTTCGCGCCGCGTCTTCCCTTTCGAAAGGGCATTCTCTGACTCTTCATCTAGCTGAAGAAAGGCTAGCTGGAACGTTCCCCACAAATATTCACCTAAGTTCATCATGTGGACACATGAGGTCCCCAACACAACTCTGGTGTGGAAAAAACATAGTGCACACAACAATGTTTTTGGACGTCGCCAACATACAACGCAATTTTTCCTTCAGCTGAGCAACACTGGGGCTTGTTTTCTGCCAAGTGCGTGATGAGTTTGAGGTAGATTGTCATGTCATGGTACGCAATCGCCTTTATGTTGGCTATCTTGGAGAAGAGTGTGTTCAGGGGCGGTTTCTTGTTGGCGCAGCAAATGAAAGCATCAGCCGGCAAACATGCTTTGATGGCACCTTGGGACCCCCACTGACACTGGGCCATATTCCAGTAATATGCACATTCATTGCATGATAGGTGCACAACTCACACACCCACATCATCCATGCACATGCGTCAGTTTCATGACCATACAATACACACCCTTACACTGAGGATGAGCCAAGGTGCTCGCAACACGGTCAGCTTCCTCTGCCGAACTCATGGGTCAAGCAGGTGGCTGCAAAGCAACACTGAGAACACTCCCAGCCAAATCAAGCTGCGCAAAACACATGCACCTATGTACAAAACATCAGAATTCTCGGTTGGCAAAAATTTGAATACACCTGAGCAAGGCAGTGTGGGGGGGATACGGCCTTCCAGCCGCTGTCTCCGCTTCATTGCCGCACATTCCCGGCATGTGATTTGATGTTGCCAATCTTCAACATATCATAACGTACTAAACAAAGTCAAACAATATTTTCACATGAAAAAACATGTGACACCATATGACGCCATGAATCACCGGATATATACACATATGTTGTCTGTGTTGAGCATTAGCTGCATTGGGACTTTTTGCTTTGAGCCCCTTGGCAGCCTTCACTCTATCACGACCCCTGCCGACCCCTTCTGGCATACTCAACATCACATAGCAAACCCCCTCACAGGTCATGTACCCTCTTCATGAAGGCCCTTAGCTCTGACCCCTCCTAGGGAGGGTCGGGGACGTCGTGGGGACATACCTTGGAGCCTTAGGGTACAGTATATATTATTTTGTGTATATACGTATGTATACATGCAGTAATACGTCTATATATATTATATATAATATTGTGAATTATTGATTGTGATACAGTATATCGGCTCATCAAAGTGTGCGCGCTTGTAAAACTAATCCGTAAAGCTGCTAATGCGAAAAAAGGGCTCAATCCGAATAATCCGTAAACCGTTCTAATCCGTAATCCGTTTACAACCCCTGCAACCTTACCCTGCGAACCTGGTCGTTTGCGCTTCTATTTTGGGGAGCGCACGGGTTCCCATAACCCCCGAAGAGGTAAATGTGTGGAATTTCCAGCTTTTGGGGTTGTGGTTTGGCGAGCTATGAGTTGTTTTCTGCTTTACCCAAGGCCAGACATGGCAGCACGGTCAGCATAATGAAGTGCATCATCTGAGAGGAAGCAGCTGTTCGACTGAAGCACGTGCAGGTGCCTCCTGTCCAGCCCTTGTAATTTCCACTTGGGGCCTTGTAACCATACATCTAATAAAATGATGAAACATGCTCAGAAGTCAGGCACGCGGGCTGCCACAGCCCCCGAATAGCAAAATCTCGGGAATTTGCAACTTTTTGGGGTTGTGGTTGGCAGCTGTGGTTAGGGGGTACACTGGGTTCCTCACTCACCTGCTTCTAGACGTATTTATTTCATTTGCGCCCCAAAGACCGGTAGACAGGTTTCCACAACCCCTGAAGAGCTAAACCTCGGGAATTTGCAACTTTTGGGGGTTGTGGCTAGCAGCGAATATACTCAGGTGTTCTTTGACCCAGGCCGCAAAGGTGGCTACGTTCCCAGACGTGCAAGGCATTGCGCTCAAGAAAGAGAGGGAAAACCAAAACACGGAGGAGCCAAAATGAGCTCTGATAGATCGCAAAAACGAATCCAAACACCACACTCACAAACGAAACCCAAGGAAAACTTCCTCAGATCAGTGTGCCGGTCATCATCCTTTACGTGGGTTGTGGCTTTCAATCCGTAATCCGTCCAAACCACATAATCCGAAAACTTGGTAATCCGTAATCTGGCTAAGGATTGAGGATTACGTTTGTTGAGGCCAGTTATATTGTGTGTGTATGCGAATGCTCTATCCGCCTAGAATAGCAATCACTGTAAAACTCAAAGTGATTTTTTTTGTTGGTCTCAATTTGGCAAACACAACTGCAACATCGCCAAGTTGCTTCATCGAGAACGTGTGACATTGGCTCGATACTCATATTCAGCAGCAAGTCAGCCAACTCCGAACTCTCGACCACGCCAGAGCCATTCTGCCAGCATATGGATTTGGCAAAGACAACATCTCGACGCACCCTTGCTTCTGCATGACTGCACCAGACTGTTCATTGGCTCTAGTTTCTACATGAAATGTAAAAGACTCACCCTCCAGTAAACAAACATGACCATGGATAATTCCCTATTCGTAGATGATATTCCACTCAAGAAAACCTACATTTATATAGTTCAGCGATTTCCCAGCAATGATTACCCTTCAGGGTAAGAATGGTGCCAGTATGTGCCAGTATGTGCCATTGTAAATGGCAGTTTTTTCAAACATATCAAACATGTAACGATCCTTGTCACAAGTCGCGAAGGCTGTGGCAAATTCCAGGTGGTGTCGGTTCTCATAGGCCTGTACCTCGGTTCCCGAACTTGATGTTGAGCTGCCCGAAGGCTGGAGAAATCAGAATGCCCAGGCTGCCCAGGCATTGTACAACAGCCTTTTCAGTGTTGATTCTAAGATGATCATGATCCAACATGATCCAACATGATCTAACAATAGTGCTCCAAGATGTTCCAAGATGTTCGAAGATGTTCCAAGATGTTCCAAGATGTTCCACGATGTTCCAAGTGGCAATCTTCAAGAAATCTTCCAAGTCGACTTTTTCCACTTGTTGGACCTCCACGATCATCTCTGGTGGAGCTTCCTGTGGTAATTTGACCTTACGCAATGCGAATCTTCCTTGAAGGATGATCTTAGTCTTGAAGAATCAAGTTGCAAACTGTTACAAACAAGTTTGAGTTGTAAAAATGTAGGGTTCAAGTCGTTTTACATATTTCCTTCCTGACCTTTACAAAAATTCCATTGATTTCTCCAGCCGGTTTTTCCGCTGCGTGACAGATTTCCAGGCAGCTGCAAGCCAGGCTTCTTGAGGACACATAAACCTGGCCAGATCCCATGGTGGATATGAACCATAAGTGGGGGTGGAAATAACATGAAATAACATTAGGGAGGGGATTGGAACCATGAACATATCATAATGAAAATTTGAAGAGATATGATTTTGAAGAGATACTTGGCACTCTGCTTTTTGGAGGATTTGGGGCATAAAAAATATATTCAGTTGTCTGCCAAGGAGCCCTAAAGCCTCCAATGCCTTTGGTAAGTCCCGGCGAGCGATTTCATCGCTTTGCTGAAACCTCAAGGGATGCAATCACTGATTACCCATAGGATCCATGTATGCCATATATGGTAACATTTACCATCAATATACCCCCAATGTTAGCATATATACCATACATGGATACTATGGGTTATAGTGACATTCACATATAGTAAATCTCGGCCAATTAAAACAGGGCCAGCACGGCACTTTTTTTTAAATTCCAGCGTCATCCAGCATCAACCAAGCTTCACAGATATATGTTGAAAAATTGGACCTCCATGACAGCCTGAAGGTACAGTATCACTGTATCACTCTTTACTTCGACTCTTTTGACAATGATTTATGATAATCCCTGCAGTAGTATGCAGTAGTCATGTTTAGTCTAGCCCCCTATTGATCAACAACCAATTGGGCGGATTGAAACCGCCTACGGCGGAGTCATAAAAAAGCCAAGCTGCTGGTAGAAAACCTCCACTCTGCTTTCATCTTGTGGCTGCTCAATGGTGTCATCATCTGATTCGGTTTCAGAGGTGGACTCATCCGAAGACTCAGGTTCCTCCTGAGTTTAAAAAGCTTTACCGACAAGCTTCATGGCTGAACCCCAGAGTTGTGGTCAATTTTCAGATGGAACAGGAGTTTCGAAACCATTCGAAACCACCTTGGGCTCTTCAAGGAGTCCAGGTTTGGACAAACTCATCTCAATTCCTTCATGGCATCAGAACCCCTCCTCTTCATCGCTGTCGCCCAAGAACTGGCAGGTGCGCCTGCAAGCGGCAATCCTTTGGATACGATGGTCCTCTGAAATCATGTTCCCCATGATGGCCATTTTTTTCGAGGGCAAATCTCCCGTTTTCGATGGCAAACCCATGTGGATTGTCCAAAAGAACGGTCCCCCGAAATCCAGGATAGTCATGTAATGTCATGTATAGTCTATGTACAATCACTTTCCCCATTAGAATCGGCTAGCCTTGGGTATACCATTTCTGGACAACCCCATGTCTTGTGGAAACCAATGAAGTTTCGTGCTGCAACCATTGCTACAACGCCGGCTTTCACAGCCAGCCTCTTGTCAAAGATGCGAAAATTGACAGGAAAGGACTCTTCAAACTGAACCTCGCCAGCTGGGCGAGCCTGGCGGAGGAACTCCCCACATGGTTCATTGCATGAGGAAACCAGCTGAAGACACAAACATCTTCAACAGATTCATCATAGAATCTGAGATACGTTATCACCATGATATTACCAGTGTGTTACTATTTTGATGGCCAACCATCTATTCATGTTCTTCAGGACTTTAAAATGGAATGATGAACTGCCACCTAAGCCTGGCATTCTCCACGCAAGGCTGCCCCCCCCCATCGGTAGATTCCCTCCTGCTCCGATGGTGCTTTCCTGTGTCAAGACATCGGTTGAAGTTTTGTGGCTGGTGGAAACAAGAAATTGGTTCAACATGGTTCAACCAGCAGTTTTGATAGTTGATGATAGTTGTATATCCCATACGATCCATGTATGGTATATATGCTAACATTGGGGGTATATTGATGGTAAATGTTACCATATATAGCATACATGGATCCTATGGGTATGTACTATAAATCCATATAAATCCCATGAAAAATTGACGTTAGCGGACCTAGTTGATCAGGTGCACAAAACCCTTGGACACCCTTGCTGTATCCTACGGGGTGGCAGCTACCGCAAGGCCGAATTCCCCATTTTGCAAAAATTGGCCTTAGAGTACCATTTTTAACCTCAACTTCATGTCATTGTTGTTTTAGTACCAGCTAATACCAGCTATAATGTCTACATCTATATCTATATCATGTTCTATCTGCTATCAACCAGCCAGTCTGAGCCGATGCCACTTGTACAGCACGAGACTCAGCAGCTGGAAAAAACTCATAAAAACTCTATCAACTCTCAAGATCAATTTAAGTTCCCATAGGACTAGGATTTATAGTAAGTCCATTGGCCCCTTGGCCACACATCTCGCCGCCTGATCTGCTTGGACCCCCTGGGAGAACGTCGATCATCGTCAGCCCTCAGTGCTCTGATAAAGAGCCTCTGAAGCCCATGTGGGAAAATTCATAAATACCGTAGCTGGCACAAAAATTACCATAGAAAGAACGTCAATCCCCATGACTTTCAAGTACTTTCCATAGTACCATAGCTTGGAGATACTGCAAGCCTATCCCAGCGGTGACACTGTCAGTTGACCGGGATCACGCCTGAATCCCAGTATCTTTTTTTGGTCGATCCCCATTTATGGTTGTTAAATCCCATGAAATCATATATGTATCATATGAAATGTGTGATAATAGTATGTGATGGTCAAAACCCCTATATAAAGGTACCCATTCTGGGACCTGCCATCCAAGCGACTCATCATCTTCCAAACCACTCTGGCTCTCCTCCAAATTGCTATCACCATCCGTGGTTGTCATATAAAATGCAAAACACATATACAAGAAAATCCAAAACACATAGAACCTATTGAAAAATAAGTCTGCTCAGCAACGCCTAGGGCCTATTTTGTCTATGTTCACATGATTTACCCTCTGGTAATTTAACATAGCAATGGAAAATCACCATTCTTAATGGGAAAATCCACTATAAATAGCCATTTTCCATTGCTATGTTAGTTCACCAGAGGGTAACAATATTTAACAACCAATCATCATCCATTCCCAATTTCTCCATGTTTTCTTTCACGGCCTTGTACTTTTCACGACGTTCCATGCTGGTAGACGACGGCTTCAACTCACTGATCTCCTGGCGCGTCTTGCAAAAAGAACCAGGGGCAAGTTCATGGATCCCTTGCGGAAAATATTCCGATATATAGATTTATATACGTATAATATAAATTTATAATGCAATATGCATATGCAGCATATATTACAGTATGATACAGTATGTATAGTATTGTAATAGTCAAGCCAAATGTATTGATGCGATATGCGATAATATCCGCCGACCCCGGCCAGCCACGGGGGATGGCGCCAGGGAAAAGGATGTTGTCCCTTAGGACAGCTAGATTTCCTGCCTATGTCGTCCGTCAGAGTCATGATGTTTTCCCCGTCGGGCAACAACAACAACAACAACAGGAACAGCAAGAGCAAGAGCAACAGCAAGAGTAACAGCAAGAGCAACAGCAAGAGCAACAGCAAGAGTAAAAGCATTTGTGCAGTGGTAGCAACAGCAGTAGCAGTAACAGCAGCAGCAGCAGCCGCAGCAGCAGGAGCCGCAGCAGCAGCAGTCGCAGCAGCAGCCAACAACAACAACAACAACAACAAGAACAACAACAACAGCAATAGCAACAGGAAGAGCAAGAGCAAGAGCAACAGCAATAGCAAGAGCAACAGCATTTGTGCAGTGGGAGCAACAGCAGTAGCAGCAACAGCAGCAGCAGCCGCAGCAGCAGGTGTTTTCTCCCCCGGGAGGTGATTTTTCCGAACCTGTTTTACTGCTAGCAGCCGCCAGCAACAGAATCTATCGAAAAATTGTGTTTTTCTAGGGTGTCAGACGACACGTTAGGCAAGAGCATGCAAAAGGTGCACATAGCCAGTAGCTATAGCAGCCAGCGCCAGTAGCAGCCAGCGGCCAGTAGCCAGCAGCATAGCCAGTAGCCAACGACAAAGAACAAGAAACAACAACGAACAACAATAACCATGACCCTTTGCCGGGGGACTCTCTTGGGTCCCCCTCCCACCGGTCACGTACCTCGATTCCTTGACTCCGGGGTTTTTGTTTCACCGGTGGGGGGTCCTTCCCGGAGTCTCCTCGAAGTACGTGGGGCTCCTTGGGTTGCCCTTCCCGCCCGCTTTTTTTTTTGGGGTTCATGTGTTGCGCTTTGGGCACGAAATTAGGTGGTGTTTTGCTGTTAGCAGCCAGTGCCAGTAGCAGCCAGCGGCCAGTAGCCAGCAGCGCACCAAAAAATCTAGATTTTTCTAGGATTTCAGACGACACGTTAGGGACTTTTTTGGCGTGGTTCTGGCACGCGCTCGCCCTTCAGAGCCCTGCTACTACTACTACTACTACTCCTACTACTACTACTACTACTCCTGCCATGGTGTTTTCCCATCCGGCAGGTGCCTTTTGAACAGAAGGAGTCACAGGAGCAGGAGCAGCAGCAGCAGCAGGAGGAAATAGAAGGTGTTTGACAAGACGGTTATCATCACAAAGGCAGGCAAAAGTTCTTTTTTTTTCTAGGATTTCAGAAGGGACGTTAGGCACTTTTTGGGCTCGATTTTGGAGCGTTTTGGGCACGAAATTAGGTGGCGTTTCAGCGTTTCGAGTGGTGGCCATGAGCAGCAGCAGCAACAGGAGCAACAGGAGGGGGGTTCTATGTCTCATTGCACAAACAGTGGTGTAAACATTGGTCGAAAACTATAAAACCTTGTCCAAAACTATATTGTTTTTCTAGGCTTTCAGAAGGGACGTTAGGCAGTTTTTGGGCTCGATTTTGGCGCGTTTTGGGCACGAAATTAGGTGGCGTTTCAGCGTTTCGAGTGGTGGCCATGAGTCGAGCTGAAAGCGACAGGACGCGACAAGACGGTTATCACAAAGGCAGGCAAAGGTTCTTTTTTTTCTAGGGTTTCAGAAGGGACGTTAGGCACTTTTTGGGCTCGATTTTGGCGCGGTTTGGGCACGAAATTAGGTGGCGTTTCAGCGTTTCGAGTGGTGGCCATGAGCAGCAGCAGCAACACTGGGATGAACCGGCGGTTTGCTTAAGTTAGTATTGGGTATAAGTATGTTTATAAGTATGGTATAAGTATGGTATAAGTATGGTATAACATAAGTATAATTGTTGTAACTTTGGTAAAGGTTAGCCTTCCTGAAGGCTAAGTCCTACATAGTTTATAAAAGGTTAACTATACTTATGGCTCCTGAGTTAACTGGTTAGCACTAGTTATATAAAATGTTAAGGCTGTAGTTAGCAACATTTGCTAAGTACTTAGCATGTAAAAAAACAATGCATTTTTTGACAAGACCTTGGAGCCATGGTGGTTTTTTTTGTTTTTTAAATTGATTCCCAAATGCTTGGCCATTGCATGCACTTGTCAAGCCACTTGGTTTTTTTCATGTTTGTGCACCAACACTTTAATTTGAAATTTGTAGAATTTCAAGTTTCAAGCCTGAGATTGGCTTATGAGTCATGGTGGAAATTTTGATGTTCAATGTGGTATGCAAACTGCCAAATCCATTTGTACCTTGTGTGACATGTTTTGGTTTGTGGTTGGTGTAGACTTGGCATATGCATATTCCAAAAAACTCAAGCCTTTTGAGGCTTATCTCTTGTTGTGTATCAACATGCCTACCTACTGCTGCAGGTATTTAGGATTGCATGCAGCCATTTGCAATCTCCATAAGCTTTGAAACAATGGGAACCCAAAGGGGCAATTTGAGATTTGAGCCCATGGATAGTGAAGATGAATCCAGGGAGTTCAGTGCCCAGAGCCACCCCCATGGTTCCTACATCCAATGCGCTGCTCAAGATTGTCCTGGGTGGCTTTGGTGTTGGAAGCTTCCATGGAGCTACAGGTGCCAAAGGTGTGGTAGAAGGTGGACAGCCAGCTTTGTGAGCAATAGCTATTCATACTGGCTGGAAAGGCCTGCAGGAGCTGGAAGTTAGATAGTGGATCTGCAACAATGGTAGGTCATGGCTCAAAGTGTAAAGGTGCTGATGATATGTCTGAATATTTTTTTTGAACATGCCTGGGGTGACAAAAAATTGCTTGCAGAGTGGGTGTGCATTTGAAGTCTGGCATCATTGTGTTTTTACAGATGAGCTTTCAAGCCAAGCAGGCTTTTGAACATGTTTCTATACCCTCACTGCATGTGTGCTTCACTTTTAGGTTTGCCAATGCCATGTATTTGCAAGATTCTGAATACAAGACATGCTACATGTGTAGGGTGTACCCATGCATATCTTCATATAGTTGTCTACAAGCACATGATCAAGTCCTTGGGCTTTTGGGTTGCAATCTTGAAATTGTTAGGGGCTGCCATGTGGAGCTGGGGCTGCAAACTCTTACATTTGAAATGTGACATCTTCAAGCCCATGGGCTTATGTTGTTGCCAGTTGCTAGCATTGTTTGCTTTGCTTTGTTGCAACTGTCAGCTGATTATATAGCAAGCTTGAAGATCAAAGTGTATGCAACTTTTTTGGTTTGTCGCCATGGCAAATATCTCCTTAGAGGTTTGTGGAAAAGTGGATGAAGTCCTGAGTTCCTCCATGGGTGTGATGAGCCAGTGGAGTGAGATCCAGCAGATTTTGCTGGATTCAGGGCTGGCTTACCAGCAGAAGTGCACCCCTGATTTGTTCCTTTGTCATCCCTTGAATAGAGGTGGCACTGGAATCAACCCTTTCAGCATGCACAGAAAGGGGTCCACCATCATTGCTGCAGGTGCAGACATGCAGCAGTTGGGTGGAAGTGTTGCCATTGAAATTTCCACTGATGAGGGCACAAGGAAATCCCAAATTGAGTTCAACAAGAAAATGGTTGTTGACTCAGAGAATTTGATGGCCATGCCAACAGGCAAAGAGAGGTACCTCACTTGTGCCAAGGGCCACACCACTCAATTTTGCAAGGCAATTGTTGCTTGCTGCAAGACCTCAGAGTCCAGCATTGCTGGGCCCAATGGTCACTTGGGCAGCCATTTGCTGAAGGACAAGGAGTTGGCCAAAATGATCCATGAAGGCTGGCAGTGGACTATTGTCAAGAATGTGGTTGCTGAGAAGTGGCCAAGCCTTCCTTCAATCATTGAAAGTGCTGGAAACAGCTCCAACTCAACATATGAACTGCAAAATGAGGTGCAGCTCATGTCCAGCATTGTGCTGTCCCAGAAAGGCAAGTTGCCAGGTGAGATCATGTATACCAAGAGTGCTGTTGATCTCTGCCATGGAGGTGCACTTCAAGGATATGCAAAGCATGTTGGCAAATTTGTTCAGCTCTATGGAGGCAAGGTTGTTTCGAATTCAAGCAAGAAAGAGGGACTGTGAACCCCAGAAAATCATTATTTTTTTAGTGCAAATACATGTCAAATTATATGTTGCCCAATCCCTGCAGGTGGGCAAGAAGGTCCCATGATCAATTTCTTGGCTTACATGTCCAAACAATTTGGTGGCAACCCCATTCTTGGAGAAGAATTTATGACCACAATTGTTGACACCCAGTTTTCCAAGACCACTTTGCACCCCATGGTCAAGCTTGCATTGGTGGTGGCCAACTGCACTACTGACAAGGTGGTTGACTCAGTGGCCAAGCTCATCACCAAAACAGATGTTGCTGGCTTGAAACAGAAGAAGTATGAAACCAAGATCAATGAGGTAGAGGCTTCTTTGACTAAGTTTTGGGACAAGGTCAACAAAACCCAGTTGGACCAGGCTGTGATCTACAAGTTGTTTGGCAGGAGCTGTTGTAGATATGCACTCCATCTATGC